TCTACACAAATAATACAATTAAAATGTAACTAAATTGTTGTTTCGAATGACTGTCTATAGGGATGAATAAGTGAATTCCAACAAGAGAGTTAATACCATTATACGTGCTAGGTCTTACACAAAAACTAGATAAATTAAATAATAAGTTCATGAAAGCGATTATTATATACGCGTCTGGCCATTGTAAATTACCAGACTTGTAGGAATTTTAAATTACGTAATGATATTAAGATATTTTTTTTTATGATGAATGATCTCTCAATGGAACTCTCAAAACTAAGTCTTATTCTGCAGATCTATGAAAAATCACTAAACACGCTATGACGTATATAAAAAAAATGCAACGTAAATTCTTATTGTTTAATAAAATCAATAAGATATCTTAGAAATAAACAACGATATTAAAATTGAATGCTTACCATGTGAGTCATGATGGCATTTTTTCAATTCATAATTATATAGTTGGATTTTCATATTTCATAGAATTATTAAGTAAAAACATTTAAGTATTAAATCTAGGTATTACATTTTTAAAGACGTTTCCTGCACACACACACATGCTTTGTTCAACACGTACAAATGAAAGAAATCGCTTGGCACCGGATTAAGTCCAACTCGAAAATGTCCAATCGMGGTAATGGAAMCTTACATTGTATTTACGTATAGTAACATGTCGCGAGAATGTTATATATATATAGCTGTGCTGTGAATCAATACTACAATAAACGCGTCATAAGTTTTTAGCCGACGATAACGAGTATAATACAGTCAAATTCGCTTATAACTATCTTCTGGGGACCTGGGGGATCTGATCGTTATAACCAAACTTCGCTATATCTGGATCATAAAAAGTAACACGATTTTTAGAAAAATTGATTTATTAAAAACATTTTTACGGTATAATTTTATTTAATATTGCATATTTTAACATTCTAGGAATTTATAGAAATGTTAATAAAAGTACATATTATAATATATTGTAGTATTTGTTTGAAAAATAATCTATAATAGTAGTTTTTTATAATTTGAATAAGATTTTTTAACAAAATTAGAAATATTATTTAATTCCATAGATTCGTCTGGCGTATTTATGTCACTGTTTATCGAAACAAAAGTACGCACCTGATCAATATATAAATACGTTTCCGAAATAGATGGTACTTTAAATACGATAAAAACGGTGACTAAACGACTAATAAAGGTATGCTATATACATTACGGTCGTACAAGACACTTTAACTGTTACAGATAAGATTAAGAATTATCGATTTGGACGAAATCAAATTGACTACACAATGTAMATAAATATTATAATCGTCATAGGTGATTATAAAAATCAATTTACGTTTTAAAATAACATCGCGTCATCGCTATATCGGGATTATTGTTATAACACTTATAACCRATATCGTTATATACGAATAAAARTACTAMACATAACATATAAAACTAACCAAATACATTGCTTGGAATCGTTTTATCCGGTATATCGTTATGTACGGCATCGTTATACGTGMATTTTACTGTATATTATAATATTATACACACGGGACAAAATATTAAAATATGAAAACATTTTCTATATTAATCTGTATTATTAATGCATACGCCATAGAAAAATAAAATAAAATTCAATAATTATGTTATTGTAATTTACCATAAAAAAGTCTACTCCATTACAAAGCTGCAATGTAAATTAACATACTATACGCACTCTGGTACATTTCATGGTATGAAAATTTGTAAACAGAAGTTTTTATGCTAAATGTTCTGATATATAGAAATTGAATAGGTAAATGTGCATTGCTTCAGTGCAGTTATACTTATCATGTGTAGGCACGCGGATCACACTACGTCCATAGTATACAATGGGTAGTGTTTAAGTTTTTTTTTTTTTTTATTAAACAACTATCCGCGGCGTCTATGGCCATTGGATGTAACAGTACATTATCTATTAGTATATTTACATATTACATTAATATTTAAAAAGATATACAAAGTAATTTAGTATTTAAAACAAGACAAAGTTTATAAGATTCGTTTGTTTGAGAAATTGTATGATCTTGTGTATATTGTTGGGGTCCGGGTTGAGTGCTTCAGTGAGGTGGTTGGATATTTGATATAGCCTCCTTTTTTGTCGTATATTCTGCATTCGGTTAAGATGTGTTTCACAGTAAGGAGTGTTCCGCAACATGTGCAAACTGGGGGGTCTTCCTTCTGTTTAAGTGTTGTAGACTACTTKTAGTAGGTATAACAAGTATCTCTATCTACCTATATTAATATAGTAATTTATAATTGTACTATTATGTTTAATACCTACCCATACTAACTTTTTCTAAGGTAAATTTATTGCAATATTATAMATTTAAGTATTATTTATAATATACATCATAAGTTATAACAGTAAAGAAAATGTTTGATTTATTTAGTTTAATATATTATACAGTGTATTATATGGTTCATAATAATAATGTAWGAATGATAATTCAAATAATATAAACAAATTACATTTCATTATTTGTTTGTAGTATCATATTTTCTTAATTGACAGATCGTCATAATAATCTTTTATTTTCTGTTCGCTGTCACAATTATCCTCAAGTACAATAAATACTACTATAATAGGCTAATAACAGTTTGTAGTAACAATGTTTCAACTATTATAATTTATTACCAAATTCCAACTAAACTCATTATTATAATGATGAGTTCAAATATTAATGATATTATAAATACGTCTTTGGTAAAAGATTTAGGATCGTARAACACAGACAACWGTCTTAATATATATAGAATGATTCACCAAGCATCCTATCTCCCATGATTTTAAATTTAAACAGTATTAATTAATGTATTCAAATTCTGTTTTAGGGTTGTTAAGTATACGTATTTTTCATATTTTTTTAAAATAAAAATGACCTTTTTACCATAAAATGATAAGCAAACGAGTTAAATGAAAATGTGATTTACCTAAATCAAAATAAATACTAAATAGTATACAAATATTATAAATCTAATTAATTGATTATTAATAGAGACTGTATGTTTGATAATGAGCATAGTACTTCAATACTTGGTAAATGATGAATCACCTCGCTTACAGTATCATACTGTAAAGTAGAATACAACATATTATGTCATATATGTTATGTTTTATAAGAATTTATAAGACATTTAAATCAAAATACATCATTCCAAAATTATAGAACGTTATTTTCAATCATCCTATGAATGGAAGCTGTTATTATTTTATTATGACATTTTAGTTTTAGCAATTATAATCAACTATACCTCAATCAACTAATGAAATCAACATTTTATCCAAATGATATTTACAAATTATATATATGTAGTTAACAATTTAACATAAAATATTATCATTAAATAATGAAAACTATTTATAGTTATTATAKGTCATGAATAGTTTAAAATTTGATAAAAATTAAATTTCTGATCTACAGGAAAATTAAATGACAATTTTGTCCTGTCCAGTAGTTTTTCAATATTATTAAAGTTAATTGAAATTAATGAGTATGTAAAAGTAGTATAAAGTACTACCTATTAAGTAATAACCTTATTGAAAATGGCCTTAATAAAAACCTTTCTATTAGTTAGGTACTAGAAAAGATAATCTCGTCTGTCAGAGTATCAGATAATATTATAACAAAGGAAAAATAGTTCCGCTCTCATCATATTATAATTTTAAAGTTATAACCATAGGAATTTTTARTTAATTTGGTCAAAATATGTTTATTGCCAYATTGGAAAATACCTAATATCGAAGTTGAATGTTGATAGATATTAGATAGATATGTTTTTCAAAATAGTATTTTAGCATTGTATTGTGAAATTTTTAAAGTTTTTTATATTTTAATTCTTGATCTCGTTTGGTTACGTAACTATGGAATAAAATGCATGAAACATTTCAAAACACTATTTTTAAAATGAAATTAATTTTTTTAATTTTCGCTTAGGAGTAACTTGTACGACATGAATTGTAAAAAATAATACATTGATTATAATTATAAATTATAATACACTTCTAGCCCTTCTAGGTAAGTTAGCTCCAAGGGTATTTATACAGTCCGTTGTTATATGAAATGCAAACAACATGTTTTTGTGAAGCTTGAAAACACTTTAATTTTGTTAAAATTATATCATAGTGAAATTAGATTTTATTTTAAATTCATGTTTTATTTTGAAGTAGCATATTTTGATGCACAATTAATATCGAGTAATAGTATTTATTATCTATAGATATCTGTATCTAAAGTTTAGATGARTGGAAAAATTCAAGAAATAAGCGCATTAATTTGAAAAGCATATTAGCCTTATGCTTCACCACTTCTCATAATCCCAAATAATATTCACTATTTTATTCTATCACTTACACAAATAATAAGAACATTGTTGATTCCACTATTCGATGTTTATTATTTTCCTTTAAATATCCTGCATATGTATATGTATAATAATATTTTCAATAAAATTGTTCGTGTTCAATATAGTATTATGTAAAAATCAAAAATAACGGTTGCCATTTAAAGAATTTAAATACTTATTGTAGGTTTAATATAGTACATAATATTTTAACAAGTGTAGGAATATTGTTTGTGTATCTATCTAAGATTTAACACAYATTTTCGCTGAAATATTACATTTCAATAATGTAACAAKTCCATATTTGTCATAACTTCCTATGGTGTTATTTTTATTCAGTCGGCCACCRAATTCAGTAACYCCGAAAAAGGCTCTTATTTTCGCATCGACGTGTTGAAGGTGTCTTTCCGACGGTCTTTTACTCCGAGTTTGAGGAAAAACGATGGAATGGGTGTTTGTAGATGATACTGTGCTAGATAGGCTATTCTCGCGCGTCGTCACGGAGTCGCGACCGTGAAGTTGTGCGCCAACTCTAAAACGGCGCCCTCRTGGTCGGAACGCCGTGGTTGTAATTGGGGGTGCGTCGCCACTCGCAGTTCTATCGCCAACCATTACGACGACGGACGCGTAATTCTTGCGGTGGATCGACGTACATCGTWACGAGTTTTTCCGCGTAAAAGTCATGATCACTCAATAGATAAAATCAAACTATAATAGGCCACAACCGCCACGCCACATCGATTAAGGGTGAGTACCAGCGATTTATACCCTGGTAGTGTTCACGTGTATGAATACTCAGTCTTCTGAAATTCAATATCTATAGGTAGTAAAATATATAATGTCATAATTACAATATTTTATTTCAATATAATATTAATATTGAAYAGAGTGAATGTGTAGAGTGATTATTTTGACGCGACTTCAAGCGTAAAATCTTAGTCAGTTCTAGTCAAAACTGTTATAAACTTGATATTATAGTATATTATCTTAACATTAAATTTTGTATGTAAAAAAATAAAATGTTGTCTAATTTTTATATCTGTGGCACCTATTTTAATGGACTGCTCCAAAAATGAATAATTATATGAATCATAAAGTAATGTGAGCTAATAGCTAATCACAATTCACATTTCTGTGTTATAAAAATATGACAATGAWTCAAAATAATTAGAATGATAAGCTTTCGAAAAACACGCCTGTTCATTGAGTATGCACAATACATATCCAATGAACTTATTTTCGCAAATGCGGAACTACGAAAGTTATGGGTATTAAAACCCTTCAACATTCCATATACTTACTATAAATATTCATATCGTAATACCGGCAATACCTTAATTAAGTGACACCAAGCTGAATTTAATTCAGAATTAGGTATATACTTAACCACTTACTGTCTATGATTATATAAAAAAAAATTATATATTATCATTTATAGTTGGAATTATAATATAATAATGGTATGTAGTATATACAAGTAATATATCTGCACTAATATATCAGATTCATTGTAACTAATAGATTTTTCAATAAGTCAAATATTAATTTTTTTCA